GCTCAGTATTTGACATGCTTGAGATCTAACCCCTTCATTTTCCATATGACAAAATCTAGAGCCAGGGAGGTGAGCTAACCGGCTTCGGGGTCACACTGTGAGCTGGCAATAGAATGTGGCTGGTGACCTGACTCTCAGAAGAACATTCCTCTGAGTCGGGCTGGCCAAAAATGGACTGAGGTCCACATATGGCTCATGAGCTCAGCATGGATTTCATTTTTTAACTTTTTGGAGACAGAGTCTTGCTCTTTTGCCCAGGCTGGAGTGCAGTGGTATGACCTTGGCTCAACACGACCTCCACCTCCCAGGTTAAAATGATTCCCGTGCCTCAACCTCCCAAGAAGCTGGGATGACTGTCGTGCTCCACCACACCCAGCTAATTTTTTGTGGGGCACAGCCTCTCACTCTTTTACCCAGTTGGGACTGCAGTGGCATGATCCTGGCTCACTGCAACTTCTGCCTTTTGGGTTCAAGTGATCCTCCTGCCTCAGCCTCCTGAGTAGCTATGACCACAGGTACGTACCCCACGCCCAGCTAATTTTTTTTGTTTTTAGTACAGACCAGGTTTCACCATGTTGGCCAGGCTGGTCTCAAACTCCTAACCTGAAGCATCCTGCCTGCCTCAGCTTCTCAAAGTGCTGAGATTACAGGCATGAGCCACAGCACCCAGCCAGATTTCATATTTTTAACAGCGAAAAATCAAAGTAATATTACATGACAGATGCTAATTCTGTAAAATTTTAATTTTATTGTTTCTAAATACATTTTTACAGGAACACAGTCACCACCCATTAACTTCTGTATTATCTAAGGCTGCTTTTCCACTACATGGGAAGAGACAGGTATTTGTGACAAAGACCATATGTCCCGGAATGCTGAAAGTTTCCAGAAAAAGTTTCTTACTCCTGCTTTCTTCCAGTGTCTCTTAAACTTTAGTGTCCATACCCACCACCTAGAGAACTAGTTACAATTCAAATTCTGTTTCAGTGGATCTGGGCTGAAGCCTAAAATTCTGCACTGTTAATAAGCACCAGGTGATGCCATGGCTGCTGGTCCATGGACCACACTTTGAGTAGTGAGGATCAACTCCAGTGTGTCTCTATATGTCGACCTGAACCAGCAGCAGCAGTACCTGAGGATGTGTTAGGAATGCAGATACTCAGGTGCACCTAGACCTGCTAAACTGAAAATCTGAGTGGGGCCCAGGAAGCTATGTTTGATAGTAACAAGCTGTCAGTCAGCACAGTGGCTCATGCCTATAATCCCAGCACTTTGGGAGGCCAAGGCAAGTGGATCACCTGAGGTCAGGAGTTTGAGACCAGCCTGTCCAATATGGTGAAACACCATCTGTACTAAAAATATTTTTTAAATTAGCTGGGTGTGGTGTTGCATGCCGGTAATCCCAGCTACTCAAAGGCTAAGGTGGAAGAATTGCTTGAACCCAGGAGGCGGAGGATGCAGTGAGCTAAGATCATGCCATGGCACTCAAGCCTGGGAAACAGAGTGATACTCCATCTCAATCAACCAACCAAATATATTAAACTATCCAGGTGATTTTGATGCAGGCTTGAATTTGAATACCATCTCTCCTGCAGGTCCAGACTCAGAGATTTAAGGTAAGCCTAAGAAAATTCAGTGTTAGCATGAGCACGCTTTCACAAATGCTGAAAAGGCTAGAACTTCCTTAAACATTCTACCTGCAACTCAGCTAAGATGAAACAGGTGGTAGTTTAACAGATGTTTCATATTTATAAAAATGTTTAATGCTGCTTCACAGAAAAATTTGTCAACCTGACCAAGAAGGAATAGTTGTAATGAGCACAACATTACAAAAAGAATGACACAGTTAAAAAGACAGAAAAGACGTGGGGCATCATCTGAAGTCATCCTTCACCGTTAACTCTTTTTAACTGTGCTTAGAAGGGAATTTCCATAATCCATTTGTATATGGTCTCCTGATATGCGGCCAGCTTTGCAAAATGGTAAGTTGCACTGTTTTTTTTTTGTTGTTGTTGGTTTTTTTTTTTTTTTTTGAGATGGAGTTTTGCTCTTGTTGCCCAGGCTGGAGTGCAATGCCATGATCTCAGCTCACTGCAACCTCCGCTTCTTGGGTTCTAGTGATTCTCTTGCCTCAGCCTCCCATGTAGCTGCGATTACAGACATGAGCTACCACACCTGGCTAATTTTGTGTTTTTAGAAGAGACAAGGTTTGATCATTTTGGTCAGGCTCGTCTCGAACTCCTGATCTCAGGTGATCCACCCCCACCTCTGCCTCCCAAAGTGCTGAGATTACAGGTGTGAGCCACTGCACCCAGCCTGCACTGTTGTCTTTAAACTTTTTAAAGCCAGCTAGGCAGGGATAGATCTATCACCGTACCCCAGGACAGGCACGAGAACACTCAGTGTAGCATGGATCATGATAGTGAAAAACAGGGAACAACCTGTTTTTGCAATGAATGGGAGAAAAGGTAATACCAGGAGGGCATATCCACATGCCAGACAAGCATGTATCATGAACACAAATGAAGCAAGCCAGGCATGGCAGTGGTGCACCTGCAGTCCCAGCTACTTGGGAAGCTAAAGCAGGAGGATTGCTTGAGCCCAGGAGTTCGAGGCTGTAGTAAGCTACGATCGCACTACTGTACTTCAGCCTGGGGGACAGAGCTTGACCTCATTTCAGAACCAAAACTGAAAAAAAAACAAAAACAGATCAGAATGAATCCAGATGATATACTATTAACTACACCAGAGAACTCTATGTACACTATGATCCCATTTAAATCTGTCAAAATATTTATTAAAAACCTATATGTTTATACATTTTCTTCTAAAAGCATGCACAAAACTGTCACTTTGGAGGAGAGGAGCTGATAGAAGAGAAGACAATATACTTTTTATTTTATATCTTTATGATTTTTTTTTTCTACAGTGCATGACAAGTATTTGTTCAGCACCTGCTGTGCATTTTTACGTACTAAATATACAGCAGCACACCTGGAACTGACATTCTAGTGGGGAAAGAAAATAAAATAAGTGCACTTTAAAAAATTCTTTTTTTTTTTTTTGACACAGGGTCTCGGTCTGTTGCCCAGGCCAGAGTGCAGTGGCTCAATTTTGGCTCACTGCAACCTCTGTCTCCCAGGTTCAAAGGATTCTCATGTCTTGGCCGCCTGAGTAGCTGGGATTATAGGCATGCATCACCATGCCCAGCTAATTTTTTTTTTTTTTTTTAAACAAAGACAGGGTTTTGCCAGGTTGGCCAGACTGGTCTGGAGCTCCTGGCCTCAAGTGATTCACCTACCTCCAAAGTGCTGGGATTACTGATGTGAGCCACCATACCCAGCCCAAAATAAGTAAATTTTAGAGTGTGTTTAGACCATGCCATATCTGTGATCTAACCACACTTGACATATGGTCCACGGGACACTTACAGTCCACAGTTTGTGACTAGTTGGTGATAACATGAGGAAGCAGCACCATAATGGAGATCAACTATGGCACCAAGCGTGCCATTCAGCTCAGCTCACATTTTTTTTTTCTTACAAGGCTTTCTTAATGCAGGAAGCAGAAGGCACTGGTTTCCATCCTGGCACAAATGCCTTAGCCTGCCATGTTGGCCAGGCTGGTCTCGAACTCTTGGCCTCAAGTGATCTGCCCACTTTGGCCTTGAAAGCGCTGGGATTACAGGCGTGAGCCACCATGCCTGACTGCCACCTACTCATTTATAAAGCCCTCTGTGATTCACTTGCAACCAAAATTGAGAATCCCTGGTGCAGAGTGCCTCCCCGAGTCCAGGAATGATCTGCAGCCCCCACTTCCTTTTCAGGTGTGTCTATGCCTCCCTGTGGCTGTTTCTGTGAGACCCTGCATTTTCGAGTTCTGCTTTTATTTGTGTCAGCTGAGCATGTTTCCACAGTCACCCTGATCATGCTGCTGACTGCATATTTATCCCTTTTGTATCTTCCATCCTGGGTCTCTCCCACCTCTTCTGGGGTCAGTCCTTTCTTGCCTTACATTGTGCTGCTTTCTCTCCTGGCACCAAAGAATGAGGCAGCCAGTTCAGAGTGGGGACTGTAGTCGTCATCATCACTGAGGTATTGTGAACCAGGAAAGAGATATCATCTGTTTCAACACAGCACAGTGTCCGAGTGTCCTTGATAAATGTTGGCTGCCATTGTCATTGTTGATGTTCTGGTGATTATCATTGATGCTGGGTGGATTCTTCCTGGGATTGGGGCAGATACCCAGCTGACCTGTCCCTCGGTGTCCTTATCAGGGTCCTTCCCTAAGTCTGCAGCTAAGGCATCTGCCAGGGCTGGGGTGTCATCTGAAGACTCAACCGGGGAAGGGCCCACTTCAAATCTCACCTCGTTGTTGGCAGAACTAGGTTCCCCAAATGTTCAAATGTTGAAATACTTCCTTATTACTGTGGAAACAGCCTGTGCCCCAGGTACCTTTTACAGTGAACTCTTGGGAGCTCTCTGTGATATGGGCACTAAACGGTTAATTCCTGGCCCTACAGGGGTCCCTGGGCCTCTGCCTGTTGGATAATGCCCTTGTCAAACTGGTTATCTATTTTGAATATTATCTCTTCTTGCAGTGCTTGGGAACCAGGGGGCTATGCCCTTTCCTTCTGCAGCTCCTTGCATCCTGGTCCTGGGAAAGTGAGCTTAACACAGCAGAGATACTGTTATCTGGGCTGGGTTTTACCCATTACTGCTGGTACAGGGTGCTTGCTCGGGCCCAGGGCCCTCAGTGAATGGAGCTCTCTGCATAGCTGTAAAGCAGTGTTCCTGCCCCAAGGGACTGAACTCCAGATACCACCTGGCCCTCAACCAGACAGCCTGTTTATGGCCTCTGCAGAGCAGGTCTACTTTCTGAGCATCCTGGCTGTCCATTGCGCTACCATCTCCATCCTTAAGTGACCAGTTTTTCTTGTCCCTGGTTTTAGCATCTAGCTCATGTAACTCCCCTCCCCTCCTTTGTCTCTTTTTTGCTAGGGGTCACGGGCATCAGCATTCCAGGGAAGGAAGCAAAGCAAATGGAGAATGGCATGCTGGTGACAGACAGTATGGGGAAGGAACTTCAGAGGTAAGTTGGGGGAGGTGGTGTGACTCATGCAGGCCTCACGATTTCACCATCTGCACATACTTTTGACACTTGAGTTCCCTACATGGTGTGGGTCTTTGCTCATGTCACTCGGGGGGGCCTGGAAGGTTCAGTCTTTGTGAAGCAGCATTCAATATAAAACTATCTCAAGGATAGGAATGGAGGCTCATGCTTGTAATATCAGCACTTTGGGAGGTCGTGGAAGGAGGATCACTTGAGGCCAGGAGTTTGAGACCACAATGGGCAATATAGCAAGACCCCATCTCTACAAAAAAGGAAGTATCCTCGTGTTTGATTATAGAGGGCTTCCTTAGATCCCTGGGGATTTATAGCATATGCAGTGTGTTAACCATGCTAGCTTTTAAAAACTGGCTAAGTTGGCTGGGCATGGTGGCTCACACCTGTAATCCCAGCACTTTCGGAGGCTGAGGTGGGTGGATCACCTGAAGACAGGAGTTCAAGACCAGTCTGGCCAACATGGTGAAACCCTGTCTCTACTAAAGATAGAAAAATTAGCCAGGCATGGTGGCAGGAGCCTGTAAATTCTAACTACTCAGAAGGCTGAGGCGCAAGAATCAATTGAACCCAGGAGGCAGAGGTTGCAATGAGCTGATATTGTACCATGGCACTCCAGCCTGGACAACAGAGTGAGACTCTGTCTCAAAAAAGCAAAAACAAACAGCAAAAGAACAACAAATATTGACAAAGTCAGAGCCTAAGCACACCGTACCTTGGGGATCTGAGAAAGGATGGTGGACCTGCAGTTGCTATAGGGGTCAGAACAGCGCAAAGATGATGTGGCCTAGCACTGTGCCTTAGTACATGTCACTTTTGCCACTGTTACCATCTCACACAGCCTGCATTCTAGTGCGAGATTACAGACAGCGCATGTGTGCAGAAGGATGTAAGATTTTCATCCAAGGTGCTAGCTGGGATTTGTGAAGCCCTAGGTCATGAAGCAGGAAGGCCCAGCTCCCCACCTGAATTCTAGATTTCATCCAGAGTTGGTTCTGATTCTTCCCTCTGCTGCTCCCTGAAAAGCCACACTTGCTTTTGGATTTGAGGGCCACTCCCACCTCACTTGGCCTTAACCAAAGACCTATGCACAGATCTCATGGGCAAGGAAAGGTTACCCACCCCAGGCCCTAGATCAAAGAGGGGAGGTGCTGGAGGTTTATTTGGCCTTTAGGAAGTGTTTTCAGGGGACACAGTTTTGGGGGTGCAGTGATGAACACATGGGGCTCTTGACCTCAGGTACCTTGTAATCTTGCTCAGGAGATAAGTAGGTAGAGGAAGGCACAGAAAGTTCCACAGCAAAGAACCACATCTGTGTTTTGCATGGCCTTCATAATTTCTTTTTCCTTTTCTTCTTTTTTTTGAGATGGAGTCTCCCTCTTGCGCAGGCTGGAGTTCAGTATGCAGTGGCACCAACTCAGCCACTGAACACAAAACTGTGGGCAACACAGTCTGATGTTCTCTGGGGTCTGCATAAAGATAATGACCACTGATGTACAGAAAGTCCTTTTTTTTTTTCCTTTGAGACAGGGTCTCTGTCGTTGAGGCTGGAGTGCAGTGACACAGTCATGGCTTACTGCAACTTCTGCTTCTTGGATTCAAGTGATTCTTCTGCCTCAACCTCCCTAGTAGTTGAGACTACAGGCGCCTGCCACCATGCCTAATTTTTGTATTTTTAGTAGAGACAGGGTTTCACCTGTTGGCCGGGCTGTTATTGAACTCCTGGCAACCAGTGATCTGTCTGCCTTGGGCTCCCAAAGTGCCAGGTTTACAGGTGTGAGCCACTGCACACAGCCAAAAAGTGCTTTCTGAGTAACATGCTTGCATGAAGGAGAAGCCAGGGCAAGATCCCACCCCAACCTCCACCACCTCTGTAAAACAAGAAAAGTGAATGAACTAGGTACTTTCCCTTTTTTTCATCATGTTTCATATTTTGAAACTTTTTCATGTTTGAAAGATGATCTAAGATGTGCCCTTTCTGTTTTATCTTTTATTTGAGATCAATTAGAATTGATCTTAAAAAAAAAAAAAAAAAAAAGCACGCATTTTTTACGTATCAGTGGTCATGGGCTTTTTGCAGACCACCAGAGATCATCACAGATTGTGTTTTCCACAGGACTTATTCCTGCCTGAGACATTCCCTTTCTCTGGGGACCTATAACCCTGGGGAATGCAGTGGAGGTGCACATGTGCACATGTTCATATATATGTTTACATGTGTGCCTGTGCAGTTGACATCCCTGTGCTTCTCCAGACAGCTCAGCAGCTCCTCCTCCTATAGCGGGGACATCAGCGGGCACCACAACAGCACAACAGAGCTGCAGAAAGCCGAAGCCAAGAAGGAGGAGACTTGAAAGCTGATGGAGGCTGGCAAGGCATCGAAAGGGCAAGTGAGATTTGCTCCTTCAGTGATGATGGTGGCTACAGCTTACAGAGCGCCCACTGTGCAAAGTGCCTTATCTACAATACATCTATAAAGGTACTATTTACTGCACCAGAAACTGAGGCCAGAGAGGTTTAGACACTTACTCAGGGTCACTGCTGGTAAGCCGCAGAACTGAGATTTGAATCCTAGCAGACTCTAGGGTTGGTGCTTGTAGTGTCTGCTCTACTGACTGCCACGTCGACTTGAGCAGCTTAGGGGCTCTCATTAGCTATAGGCAACCTGAATGCTTTAAGTCAGGGCTTTCTGCAATATGGGGTTCAGTTGTGCCTGAAATGGTTTCAGGTTATGTGCAAACACATTCAATGACAGACGAGCGTTTATTTCTTTTTTGAGACAGAGTCTCACTCTGTCACCCAGTCTGGAGTGCAGTGGTGCTATCTTGGCTCATTACAACTTCTGCCTCCCAGGTTCAAGGAATTTTCCTGCCTCAGCCTCCCATGTAGCTTGGATTACAGATACTCACTGCCACACCCAGCTAATTTTTGTCTTTTTAGTAGAGACAGGATTTCACCATGTTGGCCAGGCTGGTCTTGAACTGCTGGGCTCATCGTCCTTCCTTGGCCTCCCAAAATGCTGGGATTACACGTGTGTGCCATTGCACCTGGCCTGTTTTTCATTTCTCATTTAGTCCTTTTGATTATGTCCCTGAGAAAGTCTCAGTTGGGTCCAAGCTTGCTTTCAGTACCTAGCAGTCACTAGCTTCCCTTTGTAACAAAGAGAGTGGGTTTCGAGCTCCTAGTTTTGTTTTTATAAAAGATCATCTAATTTGGGCAAGTGTTAATAATTCTCTATTTATGGCAGTGATCCAAAGTTTATTTTTAAAAATAAATGTGATTACATTTTTTAAAAACTAGGGAATGGAATTTTTAATGTAGGTAAAAAAAAAATAAGCATACAGATAAAAAAAATCCATGAAAGTGGTAGCGAGGGGGTGAGGCTGGGACACTTTCTTTTAGACCTGCTCTATTGTCATAATTAAAATAACTAGAGGAGCAAGATCAAACAAATTCAAAAGCTAGCAGAAGACAAGAAATAACTAAGTTCAGAGCAGAACTGAAGGAGATAGAGACACAAAAAATCCTTAAAAAAAATCAGTGAACCCAGGAGGTGGTTTTTTGAAAAGATCAACAAAACATACCACTAGCCAGACTAATAAAAAAAGGAGAAGAATAGATGCAATAAAGAGTGATAAAGGGGATATCACCACTGATACCACAGAAATACAAACTACCATCAGAGATTACTATAAACATCTCTTGCAAATAAACCAGTAAATCTACACAATATGGATAAATTCCTGGACACATACACCCCCCAAGACTAAACCAGGAAGAAATTAAATCCCTGAATAGACTAATAACAAGGTCTGAAATTGAGGCAGCAATTAATAGCCTACCAACCAAAAGTCCAGGACCAGACAAGTTCACAGCCGAATTTTACCATAGGTAAAAAAAGGAGCTGGTACCATTCCTTCTGAAACTATTCAAAACAATACAAAAAGAGGGAATCCTACCTAACTCATTTTATGAGACCAACATCATCCTGATACCAAAACCTGACAGAGATACAACTTAAAAAGAAAATTTCAGACCTATATCCATCATGAATGTTAATGGAAAAATCCTCAATAATAATACTGGCAAACTGAATCCAACAGCACATCAAGAAGCTCCATCATGATCAAGTCAGCTTCACCCTTGAAATGCAGGGCTGGTTCAACACATGCAAATCTATAAACATAACCCAGCACATAAACAGGACCAAGACAAAAACCATGATTATCTCAATAGATGCAGAGAATGCCTTCTACAAAATTCAGCTCTTTATGCTAAAAACTCTCACAAAGCTAGGTATTGATGGCAGATATCTCAAAATAAGAGCTATTTATGATAAACCCACAGACGGTAACATAGTGTATGGGCAAAAACTGAAACATTTCGTTTGAAAACCAGCACAAGACAAGTATGCCCTCTCTCACCAGTCCTACTCCACATAATATTGGAAGATCTGGTCAGGGAAATCAGGCAAGAAAAAGAAGTAAAGGGTACTAAACTAGGAAAAGAGGAAGTCAAATTGTCTCAATTTGCAGATCACATGATTGTACATTTAGAAGACCCTATCATCTCAGCCCAAAATCTCCTTAAGCTGATAAGCAAATTCAGCAAAATCTTAGGATACAAAATCAATGTGCAAAAATCACAAGCATTTCTGTACACCAGTTACAGCCAGCAAGCAAAATCATGAATGAACTCCCATTCATAATTGCTATAAAGAGAGTAAAATATCTAGGAATACATGTAACAAGGAATGAAAGGACCTCTTGAAGGAGGCTTATAAACCATTGCTCAAAGAAGAAAGGAAACAAACAGATGGAAAAACATTCCATGCTCATGGTTAGGAAGAATCAATATTGTGAAAATGGCCATACTATCCAAAATAATTTATACATTCAATGCTACCCCATCAAGCTACCATTGACTTTCTTCACAAAACTGGAAGAAACTACCTTAAACTTCATATATAACCAAAAGACAGCCTGCATAAAGAAGACAATCCTAAGCAAACAAACAACAACAACAAAAAGCTAGAGGCATTATGCTACCTGACTTCAAACTCTACTATAAGGCTACAGTAATCAAAACAGCATGGCTCTGATACCAAAACAGAGATAGACCAGTGGAGTAGAAGAGAGGCCTCAGAAGTAATGCCACACATCTACAGCCATCTGATCTTTGACAAACCTAACAAAAACAAGCAATGGGGAAAGGATTCCCTATTTAATAAATGGTGTTGAGAAAACTGGTTGGCCATCTGCAGAAAGCTGAAACTGCATCCCTTCCTTACACCTTATACACAAATTAACTCCAGATGGATTAAAGAGTTAAACCTATGACCTAACACCATAAAAACCCTAGAAGAAAATCTAGGCGATACAATTCAGGACAGGCATAGGCAAGAACTTCATGACTAAAACACCAAAAGCAATGGCAACAAAAGCCAAAATAGACAAGTGGGATCTAATTAAACTTAAGAGCTTTTGCACAGCAAAAGAATCAGTCATTAGAGTGAACTGGCAGCCAATAGAATGGGAAAAAAATTTCGCAATCTATCCATCTGACAAAGGGCTAATATCCAGAATCTAGAAAGAAATTAAATAAATTTACAAGAAAAAACCCCATCAAAACGTGGGCAATGGATATGAACAGATGCTTCTCAAAAAAAACATTTATGCAGCCAACAAACATGAAAAAAAGCTCATCATTAGTGGTAATTAGAGAAATACAAATCAAAGTCACATTGAGATACCGTATCATGCCAGTTAGAATGGTGATCATTTAAAAAAATCTGGAGACAACAGATGCTGGAGAGGATGTGGAGAAATAGGAATGTATTCACACTGTTGGCAGGAGGGTAAATTAGTTCAGCCACTGTGGAAGACATTGTGGCAATACCTCAAGGATATAGAACTAGAAATATCATTTGACCCAGCTATCCCATTACTGGGTATATACCCAAAGGATTATAAATCATTCTATTATAAAGACATATGCACACACATTTATTGCAGCACGGTTTACAATAGCAAAAACTTGGAACCAACCCAAATGCCCATCAGTGATAGACTGGATAAAGAAAATGTTGCACATATACACCATGGAATACTATGCAACCATAAAAAAGGATATCATGTCCTTTGCAGGGACATGGATTTAACTGGAAACCATCATTCTCAGAAAACTGACAAGAACAGAAAACCAAACACTGCATGTTCTCACTTATAAGTGGGTGTTGAACAATAAGAACACAGGGACACAGGGAGGGGAACATCATACACCAGGGCCTGTCGGGAGGAGAGGGGAGTAAGGGAGGCATAGCAGGGGGTGGAGGGATTGGGGAGGGATAACATTAGGAGAAATACCTAATGTAGATGACAGGGGCTTGGATGCAGCAAACTACCATAGCATGTGTATACCTATGTAACAAACTTGCACGTTCTGCATATGTACCCCAGAACTTAGTATAATTATAAAAATAAATAAATCGGATGCAGCCTTGTTATGCTGCCCAGGTGGTTCTCAAACTCCTGGGCTCAGGAAACTTCAAACTCCCAAGTAGCTGAGGCTATAGGTGTGTATCACCACACTCAGCTATTTTTTCTACAATTTTTAATATTTTATTCTCACTACAGAACCAATAATGTAAGTAGAGGAACAATCCTACCAAGTATATAATACCCAAATAATAAGTGTCCAAGAAAAACAGCTATATGCTATTTGTTGTAGTTTTTCAACTAAAAGGTGCCAGGGAGATTCCATGATTACCACAAGTAATTTGATCCACTGAAGATTTATACTGGCAAAAATATAGATGTCACACTAGTATGATTTAAAAGTCAAAGTGTTAATATTTATCTAATTAAACCTTAACCAAACTTCATATTTTCTCTATTGGGGAAAGCATTTCCTAATGTGATTTTTCTGTTGCTATGTATCTTCTAGTTCATTTTTGTTCGGCCCACACCCTGTCACAGTACTTATCAATCTTTTGTTAGTTTGCCAACATTAAATAAAATTTTTAAATCAACTAGCCATGTCTATGGTTTTCTCTGACCAACTTTCCATAACCATCATAAAACAATAAGAGATAAACCACTGCTAAATTTTAAAAGTAAATACCATGCAAAAGTTGACGGAGAGAAAATTTTACAAGAGACCACTTTACCTTGGTAGTAAGTCAAGTTTTCATCGTCTGGTTTAGGGCATGAATCCATACACAGTTACTGGAAAATGCTTTAGAGCAAAAATATACAATAAAAATGAGCAACTTTTTTCTTTTTTACAAATTTTTTAACTGCCAGTTCATATGCACCATCCCCCTCCAAAAAACAAAAACACAACCTGGGAAAAGGTCAGCCATCTGTATATTAAATAACATATCTTGATACAATTAAAATATGGCCTCTGTTCTAAAAATAGATTTTGGTTACCTATTTCTGCCTTCAGCTGTCCAAATCTATAAAATATTCAATGAAAACTGACCTTGAACTCCATAACAAATACTGACAGCCAATATATTGGCAGAGCTTGACAATAATTTACCTGCAAAAATTATCTGTCCTGAAGCAGAACGTGAAATTCAATTAATGGATGACATAACTTTTGTCACCTAAACTGGAAGGAAACTTATGACCTAAAACAAGGTAGAAAGATTCACTGTCTCTTGTCCATTATCTATCTCTGGTTAAAAGATTAATCTGTGTCACTTCAAAATGGCAGTCTTGATTCTTCAGCATAAAAAACCACTTAAGAAGGTGCCAATGCTTTCCTTTGTCCTAAAAGAGTGCAGAGAATCCCCTGCTGTATTTCAAATGTGTGAGAGCTAAAAGTACAAAATGTACAAAAATAACGAAGTTGTATTTTCTTATTGAGGATACTCTTCCCAGAAAGATTAAAACATTAACAATTATAAAAATCCAATTATTTTCACTCTATAGGTCCTACCTTTTTCAGGTCGACATAAACTAGTAAGCCCTTAAAACCCTTCATAGGCACTCAGATATCCAATGAGAGAGACTGCTGGAAAAACAGTCTTGGCAGTTGTACCTCTATTTCCCTAAATACTACCTAAATATCTTAATTCCTATGGGTTTTCACTTCCAGATTCCACCTATGCAGGGCTCCGTGGCAGTTTCCATTAATCTTCAAATCTTCAGTCTATGAAAGCACAGATTCCTGAAAGGATGGCCTTAAATGACCAGGAGTGGGAGCAGTCTGTATCCCTGCTCCTGAATAACAACCTAACTGGACTCTCTACTACCTATCAGCACAGATACACCTCCAACTACCCAGCTGAACTTCAAGACTGATTTGACAGCCAATGATGCCGCTGACCCAGTCTGCATGGCTATGCGAAGGACACCAGTGAATTGGGAAAAGAGGCAAGAGGTGAGGAGACACCTGCCCTGGGCCACAGATCTATGTAGTTCAGCAATCTCTAGCCCATCAGTACTCAAGGGGCTCTAAGCCACCTCTCTGTAAGTGAGGATGGAATTAGATGATACCACATTTCTGTCTGCTGTACACTCCTCCCAGTGTCTCCAAATGTTTTAGCATCTTACAGCAAAAATCTTAAAGTTTGTCAGTTCTTGACTTAAAAAGAGCACAGCAATCTGTTTAGAATTCCTTGAACCCTCTATTTTAATGTGCCATTGTAGAAAATTCCCAATATCTTGTGTCCTTCATCTTTATAATTTATCAGACTTGTCATAAACCCCAATATTCTAATCTCTTATTGAATAATCCGTATTCAGTGTCGTTTCTCTTCAAACTTGACCTTCCCCTGCTCATTCCATTCTTAGCCATTTCCATTGGGTTCACAAGCTAATTCCCTTCTCATTCTATCCACTGGGTGCACCAGACCCACTCCCCCTTTGTATTATTAAAACACATGCCAGGCCAGGTGTGGTGGCTCACACCTGTAATCCCAGCAGTTTGGGAGGCGAAGGCAGGCAGATCACCTGAGGTCAGGAGTTCGAGACCAGCCTGACCAACATGAAGAAACCTACTACAAATACAAAATTATCAGGGCATGGTGGCGCATGCTTGTGATCCCAGATACTCAGGAGACTAAGGCTGGAGAATCACTTGAACCCAGAAGGCGAAGTTTGCGGTGAACCAAGATTGTGCTATTGCACTCCAGTCTGGCAACAGGAGCAAAACTCTGTCTCAAAAAACAACCACAACAACAACAACAAAAACCTGCCAATGGAATAAAAAAGAGTATTGGGCTTTAAAATGAGTTCAAATCTCGTTTCTACCTTGCCTGTGGCCAAAAAGAAGCATCCTAATCTTGAGTCTCAAGATCTCTATCTAGAAAATCATTTGATCAAAACGTTCCACACAGATTGAAGTACTAGAAGCTATTTTAATTAGTCCTAAGATTGCTTAAATTTCTGTAATTCTATGTGCTTTTGGTTCTGTCTATAGGAAAATTGAGAATACATAGCCAGCAGAATTTGAAAACATAACAAAAGAAATGCCAAGGAAGAAAAGTCCTGGAAAAAGAAAAAATAAAAATAAAAAAGCATTATGGAAGTAGGCAGAAATACTAGCCTACAGGGAAAACAAAACTGGGAAGTTAATTTCTCTCCAAGACTTGCCAAATCTTGGTTTTGTAAAATTTCCAGTCCTATGGCCAAACATTTACTCTGCCCTAAAAGTTTTGATGGTTAATTTAAAAAAAAAAAAAAAAAGCTGCTTACCAAAAAAATTGTTAAATTAGGACAAACTCAGTGACTAACCTCATTTCTAACAGTGACCTAAAATGAGAGTTTAACTTATTTAAACTCGTTAATTTAGATACTAATTAAAATTAATCTGACTAATCTTATTCTGACTTACACATTGATCAAAGTGCTGCACAGATATCTCTATCAATCTGTACTGAGGAATAAGAGAGAAGATTTCAAAGCCAGATAGGCTGATGGTCAAACTGTGTGGGTCAGCTACTTTGTGAACTATGGGATCATGATCCAATTAATCAACCTCTCTAAACTACAGTTGCCTATTTAATAAACAGTAGGTTATAAGAACACAGATGTTGTGATGGCTTTATGAGATAAATACATAATAGGGTGGTTACCCCAGAATACAACACTCAACAGATATTAGTTTCTTCCATCTATATTTTCTTAGTTAACATAATTTTTTTAATCTGTAAAATCCTACCTGACTGCAGGTTGATCAGAACTCCTACAATCTATTAAAGGAAAGGGTAAAATGCATTTTAAATCAACAATGTGTAGAGTATTAAAACCATAAGAAAGTACAGTGATGCATGCCTGTAATTTCAACTATTTGGAAAGCTGAGGAAGGAGGATCATTTGAGAAACCAAGAAGTTTGAGGCTTTAGGAAACACTGCAAGACTCTACCTTCATAAAAAAAATTAAGGATGCACAGTTGTGTACATGATTTAGATAATTTTTCTTTGAAGTATAGGACTGATGCTTTGTTACAAAGCATTAATTTGAGAGCATACCTGGGACCTTATTAGAATTAATATAAATTATACCTATCGGTATGTAATTAATGTAGTAAGAACTCTTACTTCCCTTATTTTGTATTTATTAAATGCAAAGAATAAATTTATCAAAATTTGATATCTACAAGTGAACTGCAGTATACAAGTCATCCTAGCCAAACCCTATGAAATTGGCTAAAAATGGTATTGTTAGCAGAACAGATGGAATGAGTGACCAGTGTCAAACAGCATGATTTCTGGACCAAAATATGAGGGGAGCAGTTAAAACAGAGTAAACAGTAGCACCCCTTATCCCCTATATGTGTGGAAAAGACACATTTGTCATGTTTTTCTCTGCTCTCACACCACAGCAATAATCGTCAACAAAGAAGGCTTCTGTGACCAAACATGTGAAAAGGTTTTACCCTCCAACAAGCAATCACTTCTGCAGATAACACAAACTGGGTGTCACCTAATTCAGTTCTCACACTGTCTACAGATAGCATCAGATTTCACAGGTAAAGGGCTCAGTCTCATGAGACTGCCTCCCTACATCAATCCTAAGTCTGAAACTCCAGAACTTCTGACCCATCAGCTTCAAATTGGGGTTCCCAGGACTCCCTCTTTGGATTAAATTGAATTGCTGGAATGGCTCAAAGTACTCAGGGAAACACACTTACCAGCTATACTCCATGCCCTCTCAGAACACACTACCCTCCAGGAACCTCCATGTATTCGGTGATGTGGAAGCTCTTCAAGCCCAGTCCCTTTGGGTCTCTATGAAAGCTTCAATACATAGGCATCACTAATTAATCACTGGCTGTTGATGACTGACAACCTTCAGCCCATCTCTCCTCCCCAGAGTTTGCAGAGTGAGACAGAAGATCTCAACCCTCTAATTAGTCAAGTCTTCAGGATGGTGACCAGTTCCCCTCCTGAATCTACCTAGGTGCTTCCAGCCATTGATCATTAGCATACCAAAAGACATCACTTTGGAAAGTCTAAGGAGTTTAAGAATTGTACACCAAGAAATGAGTCAAAGTCCAAACACAGGTTTTACATCTGCAGTTTTGAATTATGTGGTTACAGCTACTAACAGTTACTTGTATTCCAAACAGTTTTCCATTGAAAACTCGAGAAATAAACAAGTCATAAGTGCTAGTGTGCCAGTCTGAGAAGCACAATAAAATCTTGAGTTCTTGCCCTCTGTCCATACCAGGATGTGAATCATTCCTTTGTCCAGTGCATTCACACTGCGTGTGCTGTCCAGCCATTAGTCATCAACATGGTCTCCTCCTACATCCAGCCATCAACATCATTAAGGCCTGAAGGTCTAGAAACACTCAAAGTTGATAATCTTTTTTCTGACTTAAGAGTCAGGGGGTGAGTAAGTGGCCTAACACTACATGACAATGCCTACATCATTCACCTCACTTCATCTCATTACATAGGCATTGTATCACTTCATATCATCACAGGAAAAAGGGTGAGAACCATACCATATATTTTAAGAGACCACATTCAGAAACAGGGATTCTTGCAAAAACTTTCCAGCTGCCAGTGGAGAAGACCTCAAAAGATATTAATGTGTTACTCTGGCCAATACTCTTGGGGAAGGTGCTGGGTGTTTTACTTAGTTGTAGCTTTGTGCTCTGCCCTACATATAACAAGGCCCAAATTCACCTGTCATTTTACCTGCCACAGAAAGAACCACTGGAAAGATTACTGCTTTAAGAGCTTATCCACTCTGAACCACATCACAGCACAAGACTCTGTCTCAACAACAACAACAACAAAGAAACAAACCTAATTGTTCCCGCGTAAAAATAAGTCTGGGTCCACACTAAATCTGAAGCATTCTCAATGCCATGAGACAGGACAGAAATACATTAAAAAATTATATTCCTGCTTTCTGTAGAAACAAAACTGTTGAACTTAAGGTTTTATAAGGCAAGTCAAGAAAAAGAGCAAAAAATGCAAAAGTAAAATTTGAAAGGCCATTTCATTATCAAGGGCTTATGATCATGAGACATTCACAAACTATATATATTTTTCAAAACTTTGGTTCTGAATTTTGACATAAGTTGCAGTTTCATTCGAGGATGTCCAAGAGGTCAAATAAGACAATGTCATTTGGTATTTTCAGGCTTTTTTTTTTTCTTTTCTTTTTTTTTTTTTTTTTTTAGAGAACAGTAAACTTCTTTAGAGAAATAAATTGTCATAACTTCATAGGTTAAAGGCTCGTGAGTCATAATTCTAAGTGCATTTGTAAAATATGGTGGTGCATGCTTGCGTTCTGAACTTCTCAGCCTTAAACTCATATAGTAAATAATTCACAGATACAAACTGATTAAACAAAAGCCCCTTTTAATCTGACATTATTTTTTCTTTTCATTTTTTGTTTGAGACAGCATCTTGCTCTGCTGCCAGGCTGGAGTGCAGTGGCACAATTTTGGCTCACTGCAACCTCCGCCTCCCGGGTTCCAGTGATTTCTGTGTCTCAGCCTCCTGTATAGCTGGGACTACAGACACATATTTTAATAGAGATGGGGTTTCACCATGTTGGCCAGGATCATCTCGGTCTCCCTACTTCATGACCCAACCGCCTCAGCCTCCCAAAGTGCTGGGAGATTTGAGCCACCATGCCCAGATATTTTTCTTTATCTTTATTCTCTTTCTTCATTTATCAGGAGCAGGAGAGTCTAATTAAATGTGGCAGAGTGGTATAAGGGAATACAGTGAAAAGTATAAAATGAATTAAACCAGAGCTAATCGTATCAATGTGGATACATCTGAAAAACAGAATACAAAGTAAACAAAAGAAAGTGGCAGAAAGATATGTAAAGTGTAGAAGCACTCACCATCCATTTTAGGACACAAAAATTCTGCATATTATTTCTGAGCATCACAATATAGTTAAGGATTTCAAAAAGGTATTGAAATGGAAAACAGCTAATGATATTGGTAGCCTCAATGATGTTCATGACGTTGGTTGCCTCTATGCAATTATTTTTTAAAAAATCTTTTATACCAAAAAGTCTCAAAACCACCATTTTAAAAGACTGTCCTTCAGTTATGAATGAATGATTACTTTCCTAGTTTGTAATAATCAAAGATGCCACAAACACACCCATACACACACCCATACACACACATGCATACACAGTGTGCTCATTAGAACATTTCATTGGCTTCAGATCATCAGTGTAATAACATTAACAGGAAGTCTCTAATGTAAGACAGAAACTGACATCTAAGTAAAGCATTCCTTTAGGCAAACACCAGAACTCCAACTAGCACATAAGACACTGGAAATATCTCAGAGTCTCAAAATTCACTACTTTGAATCCCTGATGAGTATAAAAATTCCATATTGGAAATGTTATGCTATTCAAAATATTAAAATAGAAACATCTGAGTTAAAACTATTTTTAAAATTTTGCTTTCTTCTAAATTTATTTTTATGGAAATATGGATACCAACAATAACATTTATGCCAATGCCTTTCATTCAATTTAGAACAAAAAGAATTAGGGGTAAGAAGAATGTGACTACTTCCAATCATTTAACGTACTTATTTTCAGCATTCCATTTGTATTGGAAGTGTACCTGCTATCGATATCTGTACATTCTTTCTTTGTACTGCTTCTCTCACACAACCGGATCTTCCATTTCAGTGGTAGGTTGAATGAGTTTTAAAAGAAAATAACTAATAAATCATATATATTTTATACAATATAAAGTTATTAATTAAAAATAAATATATATAATTACCTTCAAGGAAGGATATTATTCAGGAGGCCCTACAAAGCAAAGGGGACATGTCATCAATTATATGTAGGTATGACCAGGCCAACCAAACATTCATGCAGTGTTATCAAGCTGAGTCCTCATGCCTGGCTATGAAAATAATTATTAAGGTTTTGAGGGTTCTTTTGGGCATCTTCTTTTCATTGCCTAGGACAGCAATGTGATGGAAATATATTGAGTAAAATAGGAATATGGGATCCCTAAATCACAAAGTTTGTATTTCAAAAGTGAGATTGCTTCAAATGCCTATAACTAAAATAGAAAAGTATGGATATTAATGTGAACACACTGGGCTGATAAGGATAAAAGGGACCATTAAACAGTGGAGCAAATCATAAGCTGAGAGAATCAATGTCAAAGCTGATGGTGAAAGCTACAGAGTATTTAAAGTTGGAACATCAGAGGCATTCATGCCAGAACACCACAAATATTTATCATGTGCTTCCCCTTGTCCTGTCACTTAGGAAATACACCGTTGAGATGCCAGTTCAGGTGAATGTGTGATTCACCTCTCATCAAAGAAAGTGTTCTAAATTGATCAGCTATGATACAGACTTACAAAATAACAGTTTCTCAAAATTCTCATTTTCCCATTCCCACATGGCTACTGAAGCACCTACATTTCTCATATCCTCTTGTTTGATCTTTTCTTAAGAGTTCCTTGATCCACTCATGCAAGACTTAAAACATCAAGTAAACCATACAGAATAAGATTTCAATATCAAAATACTTGCCAAAAGAGAAAACATTGAATTGCCAGTCTTGATAGAAAAGAATAAACTTTTATATTTCAAGATCAGTGCAGTGTTCTTAGAAAATGACAATTTTGATACTCATAAATTTTATAATATGACTGCTTCTAAAATTAACTAAGTTTGGCATGTCATCTTACTCTGTAAATGACTTTTATGAAACAGCTATCATATCAAAGAACTGGCTGACCCCCCAAAAAAATTAGTCAAAATACAACTTAATCACATCTTATTCACTCATGGCAATGAAACTTCTTGCTCCGAGGCCTGACAACTATGAAGAGAAATTAGCAGTTGTGGTTTACCCCAATTCCAGCACTCCCTACTACCTCCAGTACTCCATAGCAATAACTGTTTTTGCTGGGTATATGTCCAAGGAACTGGAAGTGAGTTGCCTCAAGCTTCCTTGGTTTTGACTGCAAAGTCCCCCAATAAACCTTTTTTTCTTCCTCCTTCCTTGCCCTTTCACAATCCCTCTTCCTTTGCAAAAGTAATCTTTAGATCTGTCATCCAATGCTTCTCTTCCTAACTGCTTTTTATGGATAATTGCAACAACTTTTTTCATCTGTTTTCAGCAGTAGTATGCACCAACAATTTCTGTTTTCATCTCAATTCTGCTTCCTCTGTGGCTAGAATCCTGCTTCAGAAATAAAAGGAGATTAATGCCTTCCCTTGATTCTGTTATTTATTTAAATTGCTGTTCAATGGTTCTTTTTCCAGATTTCTCTAAAGGAAGGCTATTTCCTTGTTATTCAGAGCTGTGTCCAAGGAACAGCACCAACACCACCTGAGTACTCCTGAGGAGGGCAGAATCCCACACATGCTGAATGAGAATGTCCATTTTCCAGAAGCTCCCCAACTAATTCATGAAAATTTGGATACCCCGTTCTACACTAATATGCTTCCACATTTGTTTACCTTAATTGCCCATCTGGAGCTTAGCCTCAATTTCTTCCCTATTAAGTCCCTGAATTTAATTCTGCATTATAAGCTGTAATGTTTCTAATACACTTTCAATCAGGCTATACCTTCTCTAACTTCCTCTTCATAAATCACATGACACTATTCAATTATGTTAATTTGGCCTATATGATACTATCCGATGAAGTTATAACATTTTCTATAAAACTAAATTATGGCCATACATGGCTGACCATCTATGGTGATATTCATCTATTGTAGATAAAACACAGATCTGTGTGGTAAGGGACCTCAATCCTTAATGCCTCTCCAATAGTGAGAATGACAGCAAGAGCAGGAAGAAGTTAATTCTCTGACACACTGTGGTGCTGGAAGCTGGCATTACCTTCTTTCCTATTTCTATCACTCTGTTCTTCCTTCTTCTACAAATCAATTTGACTTTACTACCCTCCTTTACATACACCCGCGTACTGTTTCTTCATTTATTCTATGTACACACTACCCTCCTCATTCTTTCTCTCTTTTATTCATTTCCTCTTCCCTCTTTCCTGATTTTCCTCAGATCTTAGAATATCTTAAAATGGGAACTAATAATTCAGCTCCTTTAATGGTACTCTCAATAGACTCAACTGCTGACCCCTGATTAGATATAAAACTTATCACCATTTTACTTCTCCTTTACTTACTATAAAATTAATAGAACATTTTCTTTAGCTATTTTAATATATTAGTGTTCTAATTTAAAAAAAAAAATTCCATCAAATGACTTTTTAAATCAAATAGTATTCTTACCTTCTTTTACATTGACTATACCGTGTTTTTTGTTTTGTTTTGTTTTTCCATTTTCAGGTCCAGGTAAAGGCTCTGACAGTTTCTGAAGGACACACTGCTGAGGTAATATCAAGCATGAGTTTCCGTTTAAAAAATTATAATGAGTTTCATAAAGACTTTCTTATCAATTTTTTTTCTTTTTTTAAAACAGGGTCTCCGTCACCGAGGGCTGGAATGTAGTCGCGTGATTATGGCTCACTGCAATCTCAACGTCCCGACCTCAAGCAGTCTTCTCATCTCAACTTCCTGAGTAGCTGAAACTACAGCTGTGTACCATCATGCTAGGCTACTTTTTTATTGTTATTTTTGTAGAGACAAGGTCTCACTATATTGCCCAGGCTGGCCTCAAATTCCTGGTGTTGTGGGGTTTTTTGTTTGTTTTGTTTTTGTTTTGAGACAGTCTCGCTCTGTCACCAGGCACTAGGCTGAAACGCAGTGGCATGATCTCAGCTCACTGCAACCTCTGCCTCCTGGGTTCAAGCAGTTCTCCAGCCTCAGCCTCCTGAGTAGCTGGGACTACAGGCATATGCCACCACGCCCAGCTAATTTTTTTTTTTTTTTCTTTTGTATTTTAGTAGAGACGGGGTTTCACCATGTTGGCCAGGATGGTCTTAATCTCTTGACCTCAGATCCACCCACCTCAGCCTCCCAAAGTGCTGGGATGAGCCACTATGCCCAGACCAAACTCCTGGTCTTAAGTAATCCTTTCACTTCTGCCTCCCAAAGTGTTGAGATAACCAATGTGCACCACAACCCAGCACTAATCAGTTTACTTAAATAAATTTCAGTTTACGCAAGCTTGGTGGCTGACTCTTACAATCCTAACCCTTTGCAAAACCAAGGTAGGTGGATTGCTTGAGCTTGGAGTTCAAGATGAGCTTGGAGTTCAAGACGAGCTTGGGCAACATAATGAGAACCTATCTCTACAAAAAAAATATATATATACCAGAATGAGTTAGTCATTGTGGTGTGTGCCTGTAGTCCTAGCTACTGATGCTGGAGGATAACTTGAGCCTGGGAGGTGGAGACTGTAGTGAACCATGCCACCACACTCCAGCCTAGGCAACAGAGCAAGACTCTGTCTCCCCCGAAATTTCAATTTAGTATTTTAAAACTAATTTGACTTAAAAAACAAGAGGAGAAGCATGTACTGAAAACCAAAGCATTCCAGTAGAGAATGTCATCTACACTTTCTAGGTTAGCCTTAACCTGTTACCTTCTTAATGTCCATTGACTTGCTTATCCAAGTATGGCAGCCCAAAGGAAACATATTCACAGACAAACTATTAGCACGTGCATATCTCAGTCAGGAGCTAGCTTCAAATTACCTAACTCTACTTTGCAGTCTCCACCAAAAAGAAAAAGAAAACATTTAAAAAATACATATTGGCAGCCGAGCACGGTGTCTCATGCCTGTAATCCCAGCACTTTGGGAGGCTGAGCCGGGCGTTATCATGAGGTCAAGAGATTGAGACAATCCTGGCCAACATGGTGAAATCCCGTCTCTACTAAAAAATACAAAAAGTAGCTGGGTGTGGTGGCACACACCTGTAGACCCAGCTACTAGGGAGGCTGAGGCAAGGCAGTTGCTTAAACCCAGGAGGTGGAGGTTGCAGTGAGCCTAGATTGTGCCACTGCTCCCCAGCCTGGCACGTGGTGACAGAGCAAGACTCTTGTCTCAAAAAAAAAAAAAAAAAATTTATATATATATATATATATATATATGCCAGGTGCATTGGCTCACGTTTGTAATTTCAGCACTTTGGCAGGCCGAGGTGGGTGGATCACCTGAGGTCAGGAGTTTGAGAGCAGCCTGGCCAATATGGTGATACCCTGTCTCTACCAAAAATTAAAAAAAATAGCCCAGATTGTTAGTGTGCACCTGTAGTCCCAGCTACTTGGGAGGATGAGACAAAAGAATTGCTTAAACCTAGGAAGTGGAGGTTGCAGTGAGTGAAGATCACACCACTGCACTCCAGCTGGGTGAAAGGGCAAGACTCCATCTCAAAAACTTATATAATATATATATACACACACACACACGAGCACATATATAAAAATATATAATATAAATATTACTTGGTGTAATACTTACAATATTAAAAATTTTAAATATCCTCATAAATATTTCAGTGTTAAGATATTTATGATAGAAAACTTGGAAATATGTCATATTGAGCATCAACAGAACACCACAGAAGATGCTTCATTTAGGTAAACAAAGACTTGAAAATTCAACCTACATATTTTTTGATAAAATCTTTACTGATAGAAAAATAAGGTTGAATGGCATGGTAATATACTAATAATTTTTTTTATGTTATCTTTAAATAAAAACAAGCAAATATGTGATCAACTGTGCAACTATTTTATTTTTTTTATTATACTTTATGTTCTGGGGTAGAGGTGCAGAACATGCAGGCTTGTTACACAGGTATACACATGCCATGGTGATTGGCTGTATCTGTCAGGCCAGGGACATTGGATCACACCTTTAATCTTAAGATTTTGGGAGGACAAGGTGGGTGGATTGCTTGAACCCAGGAGTTTGAAACCAGCCTGGGAAGAATGGTCAAACACCATCTGTGCAAAAGATACACAAATTAGCTGGGCATGGTAGTGCATACCTGTAATCCTAGATAGTCAGAAAATTGAGATGGAAGGATCACATTACCCTGAAAGGTCAAGGCTGCAGTGAGCTGAAATTGTACTACTGCACTTTAGCACAGGCAACAAAGTGAGACTGTCAAGAAAGAAAAGAAAAGAAGAAAAGGAAAAGAAAGAAAGAAAAGAAAAATAGAGAGCGAGAGAAAGAACAAACTTCAAAAGTGTAGCAAGCCTTCTTTAAAAGGAAAAAAAAGAACATTTAGGAAGCATTTAAATGTGACAGGATTCTATTTCACATTTGTTGTACATAGTGTAATCATAAAAAATAATTATGATGATGGCTTTCTGCCCATTCCAGGGTGTTTAGAGCAAAATGATGAATAGATATGATCCTTTGTTCTCTCCATTCAGAATTTCCTTCTCTTAGATTTTCATATGGCTGGATGTTTCTCATCCTGTAGTTGGCAGCTTCAATATCATACTCAGAGAGGTCTTCTCTGACCACAGATTTCCATTCCTCTCCCATTCCCATCCTAACTACAAAATTCCTTGACATCTTCTAACATTTTCTATTTTCTTTGTAGAAAGTATTTATAGTGAGAAGTATTTGCTCTTTCTTTTTCTGTTCCTAATACTATAGCATAAGATGTCATCTTGTATATTCAGCATCTCACTGACTCACACAGTTTGTGATCTATAACCAAAATAAATTCTAGGTCAAAACACTTTTAAATTTCATCAGGAAGTCTCATGTGCTAAACCGCTGTGCTCTTACAGGACATCTTCTGTTGTAGTAGCCTGCTGAAGCTGAAGATGCCCCTACCCCAAATTTAAAATCCCCATGCCATTTCCTACTTTCCCATTCTTTTCTTGATGCTACTGCCATTTTATCATCCTCAGGTTTACAAAAATTTTCCTCGAGTTTTACTAAGTCACTGAATACTGTTGTGATCATTTTTTCTCACATTTGTAAACCTATTTTCCAGTTAACAAATGTTTTTACATTTCCCACTACTTTTGTTCATTACACATACTGAGAGTTACCATTAGTACCATTTTTATGAACGAGGTCAATGACAATCAGATAAAGAATTTTTCCCAAGATCCCATACCTAGGAAGTGGCAGAACCAGGATGCTAACATGTCTTTTGACTTCTACTGGTGCTGTTAAACTATACACCAGCTGCTTCTAGTGAAAAGTCAGGCCCCTCCCATTTCTCTCCACAGTCATAGCATTAGAATATGCCATTATTATTTTATACTTCTGCTGCTATAAGTTAGCTGCCACAAAAGTACTCAGTGTTTTCTTTCTGAAAATGACTTCTACTTACTACAACACTCAACTAAATTGTTAAACTACAGTCCCACATAGTTACTACTCCCCATGATTTTTTCTTAACTTAAAATGTTCACTCTAGATTGGACAATCAAAATATATAAACATACTAAAATCCCAGCATTATCTTTTCAAATTCTAATTTCAGTAAAAACTACAAACTGTTTTTCTCTAACTCTCCTTATGATTTTGCACATCCAGATATACCTCAGAATGATACATTTGGCCACAGCTTAACCTGAAATAATTCTTTAGATTTTAGATAAACTTACTTTCAGAACACAAAGTGATTTTTTTGCATATTCTAAAGTTTATTTTTCTGGCACTATACTATACTTCCTTCTTAAATGAATCATGCAAATTAGCAGAATTATACTATGAAGCAGTAATTTACTTAGCACATATATACTTTATTATCAGCTCAAAAACATGAGAAAATCATTATGGGCATAAGCTGGAAATAATTATTTGCATAAATCACTTCTTGTGGGGGGGGGATGAGAATTTAGTTTATAGTAATACCTTATTTAAGTGGGATCGCATTGAAAATAGTATTCATTGCTTTTATTCCTTTTGTCAAAAAGATAAAGATAAGTGCATAAATTTACCTCTTCCAAAGAAAAGGAAAATAAAAAACAAGAGTAAATCTTGTGGGTAATAATTGTTGAATGAAAGATGCACATAGATAATGAAAGAGAAAGCTGTAACTAAATATGCTGACAATGAAGACACAGATGGACTGAAAGACCAGTCACTAAAGAAATGAGATCTGTGAGAAAACAATTAGGTGGGGATAAATCATTTTTAAAATGTGAGGATGAAGGCAGAAACAACAAAAAAGCCTAACTAGTCAATTTAATGTGAGCTTCAGCCAAGAGAGAAAAGAAACATGACATACCATAAAGTACATGGAGAAATAGATATGTAACCGAGCCTTTTGTTCCTTTATAGCTGTAAAAATACAGTTTAATACTTGCGCTACAATTAGTTTTTTTAAAAATATTTCTGTGATACAGAGTTTAATTTTATTACTATAAAACATTCAATTAGCTAGACATGGTCATCTACCATTACCTGAAAGACTGTTATTATTACAGAGATGGAAAACTAGAACTTTCCATCAACTTTGCACCTAGAAGAAGAATTGGTCACCAGAATTCTAAAGAGTAATGCATGGCCTATAAAAGTGTATTTATTAGAGCACGAGTTGGGGCTAATAAAATGTTTAAGAAATTTTAGTCTAAAATCATAATCTAAGATTCCAGTTGAATTATACTAGAAAATATATTGTGATTGATAAAAACTACCTTGATGAAGATGGCCATTTAAGAACAGCTCAGGGTTGCAGCTCCCAGTGAAAGTGCAGAAGGTGAGTGGATGCTGCATTTTTATTGCCTATGGACCAGGAGATTCCCAGGCAGAGGAGCCCCACAGGTCGCCTGC